CATAATGGTTCTTTAATTCAAAATTGTATTTAACTATTCTGTTGATCTTTGTTCATTTAGATCTGTCTTTATCTTATGCCTCAAACCCCATTTTTAATGTCACTAACATTATTACTCATTTGTTTTATCCATTTTACATATATAGTAGCTCAGAATAATAACACAACACTGGTCCAAACTATGATAATCAAAAGCTTATTTTGTGTGTGCAACCACTTTGTCAAATGTTTGCTCTTAATTGTTTTGTGCTTCGGATATTCCCCATTTAAGGCTGACTAGAATGGATTTTAAAGTTAATTGGGAAAAATTCCCTAGAGAGGAATCCGTGTAATACATAAACAGAAAGGCTATATCCATTGTTTTTTTTTACTGAATTTCAACATATTAGTGCCACAAGAAGACAGAGTCAAACTACCTCAGGTGATTTTCAAGGCTGTACATTTTTCTTCCATGTAAGCATCTGGAAGATTGGAACTGCTGATATTTCTTGGTTCGCAGCTGAGCTCTTTAACCATTACATCACCAGGGAGCCTTAACACACACTTAATTTGTTGTTGTCAAATAGATTTTGACACACAGTGCTACTATTTTACAGAGTAGCACTGTCCCATTGGGTTTCCATGGCTTTGATCTTTACAGAAGCAAACTGTCACATATTTCTCAGAGTAGTAGCTGGTAGGTTTGAACTGCCAATCTTGAAAACTTTAGCTACCACACCTCGTGGGCACCTTACCCAGTATATGTTCTTAGTGTTAGGTGCCGTTGGGTTGGTTTTGACTCACAGTGGACCTCTGTACAACAGTGAAACTCTGCCCAGTTCTGTGCCATTCTTACAGTCATTGGGCTAATCACTTTGTCAATCCATCGGTGTTTCTTCTTTGTATTTATATCAACTACTTTACATACAGTGTAATGTTCATATTTTCTGTATACTATTTAGTCAACTGTGATATTTATTTATCAATATAACGAACTTTTCAAACATTCCTGAAAGTCCTTATTCCTTAACCGAAGCAACCCTATGTTTGATCACCAAAAGCTAATTCGATTATGTATTTAATTTTAATTTCAGTACTCAAAGGCAGTTACCCCAAAGTGTTTTTTTGATGCTGCACATAAGTCATATTTTTAATTAACTTTCTTGAAAGTAACATTCATGTGATAGAGGAGTTCATTTAATTTTTCAGCAAATAATCTTAGGTCATAGGCTCCCAAACTTATTTGGCCTACTGCCCTCATTTCAGGGGGGAAAATTTAAGCACCCCCTGGTAATTAAAAAAAATTGTACTATAACCCACAATTCAAGATAATGTATAGGTATTTGCTTTTGCAGGCCTCTACCCATCCCCATCCCCCATGATTCCAGCATCCCCCTAGATGGCAATATCACCCATTTTGGGAAACACTGCCTTAGATGAAGATTCATTATTTGCATGTTTCTTTGCTAAGTTTATTCTGTTGGAAATGTGTATTTTTTCTTTATCAAAGAAATATGATATACTGAGACTTTTGGTTTTAAAATTATTTATGCACATATGCTGTCTGTGTTTTACTTTGACACTATTTGCTCCTCATTGTGTAGAGATTAAGTAGTCTACTGTGCAGTCTTCTCTGGTGGGGTGATCCTCATTGTGTGTCAGGACAGTTGAAAATAACTCATGGTTTCTTCTGTTATTTCTTTACTGCCTACAGCTACTCAGCTCTTTCTGTGTTCCTTGTTGTAACTTCTTCATCCATGTTTTACAGGCCAAGCTTCCAGATTTGCAGCCGTTTCCGTCTCCAGATGGTGACACTGTGACCCAACATGAGGAACTGGTTTGGATGCCCGGTGTGAATGACTGTGACCTCCTTATGTACTTGAGGGCAGCAAGGTAAAGGAAATCTGCTCCATCTTGCTTTCTGGATTAGGTCAGCTGCATTGATTAGTAGGCAATAAGCTTTCTCTTTTCTCCTGAAAATCATGTATACATTGGGCATTTTCAGGCATTAAATTGTGTTAACACCCTCTCCAACCAGACACCTGGTCCTCCTTACCAGAGAAAAAATTTTCAATGTGGTTAATGCAATTTTTCCCAGTGTTAATTCTTATTGACATTTATTTCACATCGGAGTTTGAAAATCTTCATCAGAATAAAGACATCTTAAAGCTATGAATGCAATTATGACCACCACCTCCAATCCAGTTGAGTAATTGGATCACTCAGCCTATCTTAAAATTCCATTGAAGATTCCATGTTATTGCCATACTCTGAGACTATATTCTTTAGTGCCTGACCCAAACATGACATTTTTATGGCTTATTTATCACAGAACATATATCTGTGATTACACTGTGGAATGTTACTTGCTCACACATAAATGCCTAAGCTACAAAAGAGAAGTTTACATCTATTCATAACACAGAACAGCAGAGACCGTTGCTCTTAAATAATTTCTGAAACTAACTTGCTATGCACTCTCAACCATGTACACCAAGAGACTCCATCAAATCAGAACTACAAGCATTGTGTTTGAGCTGAAGCCATTCTCTTGTCTACAGTGCATACCTGATGGCACACAGTAGGGATAAAGGTGTTCCAGGAATGAAAAATGTTCGCTTTAATTCGTCTGAAGATAGTGGATGCATTATGGGAGAAGAATTAAGTCGGGTTTCAGAGAATTTCATTACATAAATTTATGGAACTTCCTAAAGATTGTAATCTTAGCTTACTGTTTTTGCAATTAGATGTAGATTACTCGAGCTGAAAACTAGTATCTTAGTACTAATAAAGTATGTGAAGAAAAACACCAATAGACCTGATTAAAAGTGACCTTTCTCCTCCTGAGTGGGTTAACTAGAAAAGAATTATTGCTTTTTATTTTTGCCAAAACCGAAAACTCACATCTCAACAGTGCTGACTCACAGCTACCCTACAGGACAGGGTAGAAATATCCGGGTGAGTTTCTGAGACCGTCACTCTTTAAAGGAGTAGAAATCCCTTTCTCCCGTGGAGCAGCTGATGGCTTTGAATTGCCAGCCAATTTTCAGATCACAGCCCAATTGGTAACCATGACACCACCAGTGTTCTTTCTGCAAAAGGAGAGACAGAATTAAAAATCTGCTTACCACCTATGTGGTAATGGAATGTAAGCAGGATTACAACTGTGCTCTGGAAGTGGAGGGTTAAAGCCTATGCACTGATGTGTTTCTCTCCTTCCCTGAAGGAGCATGGCAGCATTTGCAGGGATGTGTGATGGAGGCTCCACAGAAGATGGCTGTGTTGCAGCATCTCGAGATGACACCACTCTGAATGCACTGAACACAGTAAGTCTCTTGCCATCAGCCCAAACAAAGTTCCTTTTACCCTGTGATGCCTATAGGTGTGTGTGTGTGTGTGTGTGTGTGTGTGTGTGTGTGTGTGTGTGTGTGTGAAGCCAACCCCCCACAACTAATCACGGGTTCAGTAAGCTTAATTGTACAACGATAATAAGTAAAGATTATAGTAAAGTCACAGAGTAATAGGGAGAGATGGGAGAGAGAGTAAAATAAAGAAGTCAGACACATTTCATGGTAGCATGCTCACCTCCTAGGTGGCCATGATCTCAATAGCCAGGTCCATGCACAGCGTGGGCAGAGAGGGCAGGAGAGAGGGGAGAGAACAATTTATTGCTAACCAACGCATATATATTTATGGTGGCTTGCATGCCCCCTAATTGCATTCCCCCTAATTACAGGTGGCTTGCATGCTCCCTAATTACGCATATATATTTATGGTGGCTTGCATGCCCCCTAATTACAGGTGACATATGTCACAGGAAGGGGTTGTACAGTAGGCATGCACATCACAGGAAAGGGATGTACAATAGGCATAAACAACAGGGAGGGGATGAGCTAGAGGTGTACACATAATAGGAAGGGGAGGGACTAGGAGGTATACATGTGACAAGAAGGGCAGACCCTAGACTCAACATGCCAGGCTAACCTTGATCACCCTTGAGTAAGCTTCTCCTCCCTGGGTTCTTCTTCAGGGAAACAATCTACTACTATCCTTAACAGAAGGGAGTAGGGTGGGACAGACTATACAGTCTGATTGCTCTTGATGGCTGATAACCTTTAGGGAGAATAACCTCTGACCTACTTTCCTTGATCTCCAAATGTATAGTCATTTACCATGTTTAGCAAGCAGCTAAATTTAGCATATATTTGGGGGAGACAACTTAGGAGAAATCTGTTTCCCACATGTAGTGATATATAATGAATAGCATGTATGAAGTAGGCTGGAATCTTAGGAGTGAGCACCATAAGAGATGGTGCTGGCCTGAAAGATGGGCTATATTCTTTGTCATAGAGCTCCCTGACCTCAGTCCAGTGATGTGGCACCTCATGGTTCATTTCCTAACCTGTCTGGATTACAGGATTGTCATGAGTTTTAAATGAGGTCCTAATAAAAGTGGTGAACATTTATTGAGATCTCACGAACCTGAATACTGTGCACAGATGATCTTATTTAATCCTTTCCACACCCCTATGAAGTAGGATCTATTACCATCACCATTTTAGAGATGAAGAAATAAATTTATTGAGATTAAGTCACAATCTAAGGTCATACACAGAATATTAAAATCCAGAGGCCATGTGTTTAACCTTCTCTATCTTGTCTGAGACTGGGTGTTTGAAAGTGCATGTAGGAACAAGAATATAGACTAGAGTCTTTTGAACAAATGTGTTTTTTTTTAACTTTGACATTGGAACTGTGTAAATCATTAAAAAAAACCAGGGATTAAAAAAATAGTCTCTAGAAAAGCAAAACCCAAATAGAACAAGTGAAGCTAACTTGATTGAACTTGTTGTTTAACATACCACCATAATTACTCATTTATGTGAATCCCATAATACACAGCAGCTCAGTATAGTAACACTCACTCTGCTACACACAATATTACTGAGACCACTATTTTCCCCGATACTTCTTTTTGGAGTTAGAATTTATTTCAAAGAACTGCATAGGATCCTATGTGTATTCTGAAGTTATATGAAATAATTTCTCTTTATATGGTTGTTAATGTTCAATCATCGATCTAAAGGAACAAATAAAATATAGTAAGGAGTCAATTTCTGATCATTTAATGTAGATTTTGAGTGTTTTATATCTTAACAGCTTTTAAGCCTCCAAGACAGTAACTGTTTTGATGTTTAAGTAAATTCGTTTAAATATCCTACTTTTTCTTGAGAGATCAGTATAGCTGGAAGGGACTTTGGAAATTATTTATTTCAATCTCATTAAGTAGATACGAACCTACTTCTACCACTCAGAAAGGCCCCCAATGACTGTTGAATGCCAGCAAATAACCCTCCCTTGTTAAGTATTGAGCTGGGTGTTAACCACAAGGCCACCAGTTCAAAACAACCAGCTGTCCCCAGGAGAGAGAAGAGAATTTCTGCTCCTATCAAAATTCACAGTCACAGAAACCACAGGAGCAATTCTGCTGACTTTTAAGGGTCACTCAATCGATCAGAATCAATTCAATAGCAGAGAGTTTTTGCGTTTCTCCTGCCTAGCTTATCTTTTAAGAAATGCACAGAGATCTGAATGATATGACGGAAGTATGAACTTGCTTTCTGTTGAGGTTTTTGTATTCAAGTGTTAAAAAAAATCTGCTATCATGGTTTTTCTATTAGTTAAAATTTGAAGAGGGAAGAGTTTGCCATATTTAATTTTCATTTTTGTTACTTTCCTAAAGGTATATGATTTATTTCCTTTCTTATCCCAAGTGCTAAGACCACATTTTTTGGTGCAGAAATAACCTGAACTGTTTATACATCTGATCTTTTATGGCAAGTTTCTTGTGAAGTTTTCTTTAGCATTGCTGGAGGGCTGTGGGTTTTATGAATTTTTATTTCTTTGAAGCTGCCTTCTGTCACTTGAAATTCAACCTGCCTAGGCTGGCCGGAGATGCAGTACAGGGACATAAATCCTCTGAGGAGCTGCATTGTGTGGCCATTTTGGGGTGATTGGGAAAGTTTCATGGGTGTCTGAACTTTGTGCTTCTCAGAAGTGTGACTCAAAGAAGATTTCAGTCTGACACTTAATGAAAAATAATGTGAGTGAAAATAATTTTGTGAGAATTTTGTTTATTTTGACTTGGAACAATGGAGGATTTTAGTTGTGTTGGTTGTTGTTAGGTGCTGTGTTCGGCAGGGTTCTCTAGAAAACAAAACTAGGGCACTTATGAATACATATATATAAGAGGATAGGTTTATTCATCGAGCAGGAATATAACAGCTAATTAGTCCACACAGCAGTACACAGGGCTCAGTTCAACTCACTTTCGTGGAACAGTTAATATACTGGAAGTCCTTCAACTTAGGTGGGCTGCTGGGTCCAAGGTCAAGGAAGCAGACAGCTGAGTTTTCCCTCAGGCAAAGCAGGCAGAGTCTGCCTGAAGGCAGTAGATAGCAGGGTGGGTCAGCAACAGTCAGGAGCTCAGCTAGGCAGACCCTGCTGGAATCTGAGGGATTTGCAACAGGACCCACCAGACTCAAGCTCAAGCAATGTATATACCAGCGGTGTGGAGAAGCAGGTCTTGAAGGAGCCTCAAGCTCTAGTTACATGATCCATGGGTTGGCTTGGCCCACAGGTAGTGTAGCACACAGGTTGAGGCAGAGAACTAGCTAAAGCAGCAGCACACTGATCTGATCACCTGAGACAAGAGAGATGGGGCAGGCCTTGCAGAGCAAGCTGTGACCTGATTAAACTCCACCCACATATTCTTATTGGCCTAGTTGGCATGATAAAGGTAACTGTCTTAGGTGCCTTCAAGTCAGTACTGACCCACAATGACCCTATGCACAACAGAAGAAAACATTGCCTGTCTCTGCACCCTCCTCACAATTGTCCCTATGCCTATGCTAAGTATATTAAATCTGCATGACCTCATCAAAGTATGCTGAACATGTTGTAAACAACAACAAAATTCACCTAGCCCATTGACAGCAAGTGAATTCCACCTCTTAATTACCCTACAGGGAAGAGTAAAATTGCACCCCCTCCTTTTTTAAATGGATAAGGGACCTTCAAAAAGTTGGTAAACCAATTCTGTTGTTTTTCTATTCCATTTTGCTTTCTTTCTTTTTTCCCTTTTCCAATTCCATTTTTCCACGAGTTTCTGAAAATCCTGGTAATCCTTACAGGAGGAGATCAGTGGCTCGCTTCTCCCATCAAGTGGATAGTATGTTACAGCCTCTTAATCTTTCCGTTAGCAGCCATGCACTTGACCGCTGTACCACCAAGCCTCCTGCATCCTGGTGCCAAAATCAAATCCAGATCCACTGACATTGAGTCACTTCTAAATCATAGCCAAACCAGTTGCCACAGCCTTGACTCCCATGTCTGGTGGCCCATGTGTTAGAGTAGAGCTGCACTGGATAGGCTGTCTTTTCGACTTTTCAGAAGTTGATCACCATGCCTTTCTTCCAGAGTGCCTTTGGATTCAAACTGACAAGCTTTAAGTTAGTAGACAAGGCCTTACCTGTTTCCTCCACACGGAAACTCCCGCCTTCTCTCTAGGGTCTTGATAAATAGTATAGAATAGATATGTGTGTTTAGACAAATAGTTCGTGTTTTCAAAAGCATTTATTGTACTTAAGCTAAAACTTTCCATTGCATATTAGTTTGCCAAGTCAGTAGTTTATACAGAAACTGTCCTGTGACGTTGATTGTAATCACTGCAGTGTGCCAGTACTCACTGTTGTCTGTCTGGATTCCCTGAAATCCAGACAGGATTCCTTCCCGTCTTCTTATCTTTGGTTTGGGGCAAATGTGCGCTTTTGGTCTTTATAGTTGATTATTTTGAGGAGCAGAGTCTTCACGCTATTTCTTTTAGACTCTTGTCTGCTATTGAGCTGGGAGGCGGCCTCCAGGAGCGGCTTCAGTCTCCAGTCAGGTTTTCTCCAGGGCATTCTTCTGGGGGAAGGGAGGGATTCTCCAGTCTCGTTCTGATCAGTATGTCGGGTTTTTATTTTCCACTTTGAACTTTACTCCCCGCGCTGCCCCCCCCCCCTTTTTTCCTTTTTAAATAACTTGAACTTTTTGGTGTGTTCTTGGTTACAGTGAGTAGTCATATTAGCTAGGCACTAATTTTTATGGTCTCAAGTTAGAGGAGGTTGTGATTTACGTGGGTCATTAGTCCTTTGAACTAATGCTTCATTGAGTTTTTGTTTCTCTTCATTCTTCTGCATTCCTGTTCCAGGCGAGAAGAGGCCAGTACTTGCTTCCCAGATGATTGCTGGCAATCTTTTAAGACCTTAAACATTATTTTTATGAA